AGAGATCTAATCTATTTGTTTTCCACATTTTGTTTCACCAGTGGGGAGCGAAGGCCCGATGATTGAAATGGGCTTCTGCGATCACAGGCCATCAACGCTCTTGCGTCCAAGCCTTACTACGCTCATTCAGAGTCCAGCAAGACACCTAAGGATTACGACACCGGGCCAATCTGCCACCAGCCAGCTAAACTCAGGCCTTGGGCCCCTGCACTTTTCTGATGAAGATGCACCATTTCGACGGCCGCCGTGCAAAAAGACAAGGGAAAGGGAAAAGCAAATTCAAAAAAAGCATGGCTAGCACCCAGGAAGCGTGCGCCCAGGAGGGGTGGGGCGTTCGGGCTTCTACCAGAACGAACAGGAGGGAAGAACCAGGTGGGCACCAGCAAGAGGGAGGAGAATGACTATGTCCAGAGCCCATTGAGTTTCATGCCAGCCTAGGCGACCCAGGGCCTATGTTTGAACCACAGCATTTATGGTCTCCCCGTCTCCCTCTTCAGCTATTATTTTGCTGGGCAATACCGTGGATTCAACACACTTAATTGCAAACGGCCCCTGAGGATTGCAGGCAGGGGAAGAAGATGCTGTTGGGAAAGTGCTGACTCAGCAGAGTTTTTGTTATTTTTCCTGGGCCCATTCATCATTTTTCACAGGGGGCCTTAGTTGCACGGTGCCCCAGGCGAACAGACTACTGGAGGAGCATACGATGCCATATAACTTCAGGGCTTCCCCAGTCCTGATAAAATGGGTCCCGGCAACTCGCTTCGAAGCCATCTTGCTTGGTCGGCCGTGCCCACATGGAGCAACCCCTTGAAGAAGACAAGGAAAATGATCGCAAAAGAAGCACTGCCAGAGTATGACAGACTTTTCAGGTCAAGGCCCCTTGTACACTGGAAATCACTGCTTGCCTGCTAAAGCACATTTTCCCAGCCAGTAATCAAAACATTTCCATTGATGAAAAGGATTGTTCGCCTCCAAAGGGCTTCGCAGCAGCCCATAAACCAAGTATGATGGGAAGGACAAGCCGGCAAAAGTTGGGGATTCAAACTGGTTTGTTGCTGTGCGGATTTCCTCAACAGCATAACACGTGGGAATTTATTGTGTATGCAGGGGAAGGAGGATTTTCCTCGCTCAGGCCAGGGACTCAGCTTACTCCCTCCGTGATTGATCTTTCCTGCCGTTTTCCCTGTGCTCGGGCGCGGCTACACACTCTTGTGGGCAATTTTGTACACCAGCTCCTGGCCCCTATTTTTGGGGATTTGTCAACAAAAGGCGATTGGGCCTGTTGTGGGACCATTCGGAATTAAATCAAGTTGGTTTTCCACAGACTGGGAGTTGAACGACCTTCCGTAAAAGGGGGCTGAAAAGGGTGTGAGATCTGCGTTGGATAAGGGAGAGCAGTAGCTCGCTGTTTGTAAAGTGGGGGATGACAGCCCGTGAAGTGACCATGTGGCTCCACTGTGCACATCTGGGCCTTCAGTGGAAATGACGCTGTCAGGGCGGACACGGTGAAACAGCGCTGGGTGGTGTGGGGCAACACCAAGCCGATGTTCCTGTTCGCAGACTGCTGCTGGTGTGACTACAACCGCGAAGCCGATGGGCGGGTTGTGGATGGTGGTCCGGGTCGCTTTGATTGGCATACTACAACGTTCATCATCCAAAAATGTGATTTGAAATGGCCTACAAGACATTTTTTGTTACCATTTTTATTTGCGACATTTTTTCCGTTGGTGAACAGCTTCATTCTCCACAAGGAGCTGCAGAAGAGGAGGGGTGACCCCGGTGCTTCACTACCAAAAAGAACTGTTTCAGGGATTGGCATTACTTTCTGGAGTAATACTGTCGCATTTATTTCAGGGTTTGTATAAAGTTTTTTGTTTTTTTTACCCAAAAATGCTTGTTTTATAGTGTGTTGCTATTTTTTTTTAAATAGATCTGCTCCAGTTTGAGTCAAATGTTTCCTATGTTTCCTAATTTTTATTGTGCAAGTAACATGCATCTCATGCAAAGAGGGAACTTCCCACACACTCTACCCACACACACACACACACACACACACACACACACACACACACACACACACACACACACACACACACACACACACACACACACACTTTATTATTATTTTTTTTTTTCATGGAATTAATACCTATAGTGATAATTAAATGTTATGCAATGATTTTTACAGTCTGGTACCTGAAAAAGCTCAAATGGCACTGATGGAACCAAATGTAGCCACATGTGCCCAAAGGTTTGTCCTCTTAGACTTTTTTTTGCTAAACATCTCTAAAAAGGTCAATTTTCACTTGTTTTGTCTCAATCTTGATACAGGTTACTTATTATATGTTATACTTTGGATTCCTAAAGCTTTTAGGCTACTAACCCATCATTCAAGGGTGGTTTTCATTATAAGTAATGGGTTTTATTTGGGTGGAGACAAGAACTTACACTTTTTGACTATGTTCCATCTGGATTTACTCTGACACTGAAACATCTTAATTGATTTCTACATCAACTCACATAAAAGAAATTATTCATATAACCCTTTTAGAAGTTAAGTTATAGTCCTTTGTTTGGGCTTGTCCTTTTCGAGCCTGAAACCTGAAAAACAGGCTTTGGGCTTAAGAGGTTAAGAAAATGCTCAATCATTTATTATTGATTGGTTTATAAAGGGTCAGGGGCAGTGCTATGATGCACACCTGTACATCTTGTAGAGAACTACAGAGCCATGTCAAGATACTCTGAACTCTATTTGGTATTGTTAATATCACAGATTTGTTTGTGCTATACTATAGGTCAAATTATTTTATCAGTGCAATATGCTGATGGTGTGAAGAACTTCATGCATTTATACGATGTGCTGTGCATCTTGTGATTTACTTGTCAACACCTTGTGCAGCTTGTTAATAACTTGTTAGAACCTCACAACTCAAAACTTTTGATCCAGAATTTTGTAATAATATGATTGTTAAGGATATGGCTCCCTTTTATATGGGTCAAGCGAATCGCGAATTAGGCAATAGTCTGTAAAATCTGAAATGTGTTATGGTTGCAAATGACCCAGTTTATTTATGACCTAGATAAATAGTTTATGGTCCGTTTCTGTATTTTGCCACCACCACTCACGGTTGCGTTTGCAGAGAGTCGGCCCGGTCCAGGTAGTTTTTGGGCACGACCCCGGTGTCGAGCACGCGCCCGTTCTTGTTGATCCTGCGCGCGGTCCACCAGTCCCCCGTGCGGTTGATGACGCTGAACAGATCCCCCTCCTGGAAGGACAGCTCTTCCGGGTGCCGAGACTCAAACGACCACAGCGCCCGGAAAATGGAGCCGCTCTCAGACCCCTCCTCAGAGTCCGGGGCCGGGCTCGGTGGGCTCGACCCTCCGGTACCGCCACTGCTGCTGCCCCCCCCTCCTACTTCCCCACCACCACCACTACTCCCTCCTCCTTCTCCAGGAGGAGGCTTCTTGTCGCTGAAAATCCTCTGCCATAGTGTTTCCAGACATGGGCAAGCTTTCCGTAGACACTCGCCCATAGATGACCATGAATGCTCCCGCACCCCCCCTCCTAGAGTGGCCTCCCCGCTCGGTTTTGGAGCCTTCTCCCTCTGCTGCGCGTGAGCTGGCCTCACCTGTTGGACAGGTAGAGCGTGATGCCGCGTGATGAGTCCTGGGAATGCCCTACAGTGAAACCGCTGCCTGTGGGCTTATCCTCTGAGACTGATTCTGCACTGAACGCTACTTCCTTATGCCAGGCAATAATAAAAACACGAGAACTCCGCCTATAAAAGGACAAAGGCGTCAAAACTTCTGATTGTTTACAACCAGTGGTTGAAAAAGGTAATCCGATGTCATACTTTAATTTAATTGAAAATACTTCAAAAGTCCAAAATAAAAGTAATTTAATAATAATTAGTACTTCTAATAATTAATGACCCACTTCAAAAATAATGTATAGCCTATTGAATTACTTTATTATGATTATTGATGCATTCATTAGAATTACTCATGCTGCTGATTATTTTAACCCAAATGTCTTTATTTATTATACAATAGGCCATTCTGCTTAGTGAGCACTTTAAGTAAAAGTGCAAAAGTAACATCAATAAACTTGATAGGCTACTCCAACTTAAAGTTTGGATGCATGATTTTTTTTACTTGTATAGCTACAAATGCAAATCACTGGTTTGTGCAAATAACCCAAGCTGGGAATTTGCTTTTTCTTTCTGTCTGAGCTCACCTAAATGTGGAGCCAAAGCTACTATAGTGACGCAGAAATTCCAGCTTTTAAATAGCACAATTACTTTCATCAGGGCCGGCCCTAGACTTTTGGGGGCCCTAAGCGAGCTTTGGCTTGGGGGCCCCCCTCACTCTAGCGCGTTCTCACTGCACACAACACGGAACCAACGTTTGTCTTATGATGTTAGCATAAGCAGACATATTGTAAAAATAAGCATGTAAACACCGTGGACCTAACATCCTCTAGGGGCGTCCTCATCTCCGCTAGGGGGGTCCGGGGGCATGCTCCCCCGGGAAGATTTTTTTTAAATATTGAAGTTAAAAGCATCAATCTGGTGCACTTTGAGAGCAAAATTAAGAGATCTATGGATACATCTCTCAACACCCATATGAAACAGAACTGTAAACAGATTTTATTTTTCTTATATTTTACAAATCACTCCCCTTTTAAACTGTATTCTTGTTTTGTCATATAGTATTTCACAACTGTTTTTCATTTATTCTCTCTGGTTGTCCATCTCATAATGTTCACATAGAAACTAGCTGTCAATAGTGTTAGAGAATAATTCTCCTTTACTCCTAAGATAATAAACCTTTTGGCCTGTTGACGTTTATGACCAACCCTGACTCTGTTATCTCCCTTAAGGAATGTGCTGCTGCAGCTATAATGTTGTTATTCCCA